CACCGGATACGTGGTAAGTCAGCACGTAAAATTTCACATTCATTTGTGTTCAATGTATTCGTACACGTTTTGCTCCCGTGCCATTACGAAATCTCACGGTGAGCTACACGGCTCTCGTATTTGTTTAAATAAACAAAGCTAATGCACGATTGTTGAGCATTTGTACTTAGTAATTAGAAACCCAACGATGCCACGAACTATTCCATAAAATAGAGATAAAATCTCACTGTGCACTTTATTTTCTATTATTTACATCAGATAACGTGATAACATACATATGTTCTAGACACCCAATATATTCAACTAAAAAGCTCTCTTAATGTCAGTTTTGTGTACACAGTACTGGATACTGTGCAAACAAGACACACGTGTTGTGTATAGCAGTGTTGTTAGCCATTTTGCCAAACGTGGTAACTGTGGTAAATCATTCCGAAAATGGCCACCGGTCTAGATATTTTCAAGTGCGACTATTTTTGATGCTGCTGAATAAGTATTCAGTAGCATTCTAAAATTTAATTATATCAGGTACTTATCATTAGTTTATTTAGCTAAAAGTAGAAGGCGCTATATTACGTTAAAACTATGAAAGCCAAAATTATACTATCTAGTAATATCAGCTATAGAAGGTAAGGTGGAGTGTTCTTGTGCATTTTTGGACCTCCGTATGGAAGACAAAGATGGAGAATTGTTACTAGTGACGAAAATCGGGTTCACTATTATGAACCTGATTCCAAACAGGACTCTATGCAGTGGAACAAAAAAAGCAACCCAGTGCTACAACAGGTCCCATCCGCAGAAATCGTGGTACTTGGTGATTTTAACGCCCACCACGCTAAATGGCTTGGTTCCCGTTTAACCGATCATGCGGGTAGATCTGGCTATGACTTCGCCTTGGCATATGGTCTAACACAACTGGTTACTTCGCCTACGCAGATCCCAGACGTGGAGGATCATGTACCTTCCCTGATGGACCTTCTGCTGACAGAAATCAGGTCTCCGTCGATGCCCCTCTGGGTTCTTAAGACCATTGTCTGATCCGGAGTACGGTACCACTCACGCTCCCATCGCAGTTGCGATCTGCAGCTTGTCTTGTTTTGCATCCTATCCTTAGGGGCGGGTTTGCCCCTCGCCAGAAGATCCCAGCGTTGTTGCCGATTCTGTTGCTGATGTGGTACTTCAGGGAATGGAACTTTTTATTCCATCCTCTGTGGTGCCCATCGGAGGCAGATCCCAGCCATGGTTTGGTCGCTCCTGTAAAATAGAAAAGCGTCCCCCGAGCCAGTTAGAAGGTACCACATATAAATATAAAAAACTAAACAATTTTTTAAAGCAATTCTTTACCCACTTTCTGGCTTATCAGCTCTCAACTGGAAATCCTGAAATACGTTATACTTTAAGTGACAGCAATGATGCACGCGTACTGCTCATAAATACTTTTTTAACACTAAAACATTTTCTTCTTAAACGTTGTTTATTTAGGCCGCACGTGGGTTGGCATGTCACACTGATCCTGAATTTATATAATATAACGATTAACATTTCTTTGATAAAATTAAAAAAAAAAATTGCGCCAGATTCGATGATTTTTCTACGTACAAACATTTTTTTAAAAAACTGAAGTGCCAAACGAATTTAAACGCCCTGTTCATGAACATTCATACATTAATTCAATGCAGCCCTTCACAATCCCGCTGCTGAACATAGGAAGGAATGTGACAAAGCACGGTTCCGAGCTATCTGCACGCATCGACATCCTGCATGTTTTACCAGGTCGTCACTCCATCTAGTGGGGGGTCACCCCAAACTTCACCTACCGGTACTAGACTGCCACTTGAGAACCTTTCTTCCCCATCGGTTGTCAGTTCTTTGAGCTTCAGCCCGTTGCTACTTCAGCTTACTACTAATCCGTTAGGCTATGTCGGTTACTTTGGTTCTACTGCGGATATCCTCGTTGTTAAGTCTATCACGCAGAAAAACCCCGAGAGAGCTATCTCTCCATAGATCGTTGAACGACCTTGAGCATCCTCATACGACCAGCAGTGAAGGACTATGTATCATATCCATAGGTCACTGGCAACACAAACTGGTTTACAATCTTGTTTTGAAGTTTGAGTTATGTCAGACGAGAAGATGTTTCGAAATCTCCCGAACGCTGCCCAGTCAAGTTGAATCCGTTAACTTCTCGATCGAAGTGTGACTTACCTAGTCTAACTATTTGTCCCAGGTAAACACAGTCGTCAACAACTTTGAGCTTAGTGCTCCCAACATCTACCGGCATAGGTGTGACAATGAAGAAATAATTACTAGATGTTTCTCCATGTGTATGCACGTGTTTGGTACGTGTCCTAAATGTCATATGTTTCCACGTTACATGAACTTTTTTCTAGTGGTAATCAACGCTTATTGAGGGAAAAACAATTTGACGTGATGCGTGATGATTACAGCTTTCCTTTACGGATAATTTTATTGCGAGCATCTAGACTCTTGCGTAGAGCGAAGTAACTCAGTGGACGAGCGCTCGCTGCAAATTTCACTATACGTGAGTAACCCGAGTTCGATCCTGATCTGCACCAATGAAATTGTTAATTGCTGTATTAAATGCTAATTTACCATGTATTCGGCGTTGAAGGAAGGCATTATAAGAAAACCTGCCTGTCTGAGAAATTAAAAAAAATATTTCAGAGCATGTGAAATTCAACAAGCATTTCCTTGCCCTAAAACACTCCTAGAAATGAGAGGAGGCCTGTGCACAGGAGTAGGACATAATTAGGTATAGGATGTTACAAGTCCGTAGTGTGTATGAACCGATTTTGATGAGGTTTTTTTTTTCGTTTGAAAGGTGTCTAACGAAGAGTGTTTTTAGCTATGTTTCAAGCTGTTTAGCCGTTTGAAGATCATCAGCTTTTTGGGGATTTTAAAATGTTTAATTTAAGTTATTACACTATCTATGTTTCTTGATACTAAATATCGCTCTTTATAAAAAACATATACTTTTTTTATTAAGCCTAACCTGTAATATAAGCAACAAGCATATCTTATTACGTTTAGGGAAAAAAATAACTTCTATTATATTTAAATTTATCCATAATATAGATAGAAAACTTTAAGCCTTCAAGTGTTTATATGACGGGCGAAAATGGACTCAAACTCACCGACCTCTGGCGTACACTGTTAATCAACGGGATAGGCGAAACAACCGCAACCCTTCCTGGCACCACTGGAGCTTTTCTCGGAAAACCCTTTTCGTACCTTGGGACCAGTTCAAATGATAAGCACAACATGTTTTCAAATAGGGGCTAAAATTAAAGTGTTTTGTGTTCCAACTGTTCTTTTTGGCTTTTACACACGGTTACTGAAAGTGCATAAAAAATGCCAAAAATTTGTCTGTAAATATGCATAGATTATTTAATTTGGACTTCTTACAAGATGGCTGCATGAATACATAAAAGTTATTTTTTTTAATATTATATTTACCATTTTCAAGACTCGAAATTCGAGAAGAATTTCTTGAACATTTCAGCTTAATATTTATTAATAAAAACAAGCAAAATAAAAAATAAAAACTTTAAGTATAACTCACGACGGCATTTTAATAAAAAAATATCAAATAGCTCCGGGACTGTTGCGAACATAAAATTGCTGAAACTCTCAGATTAAAAAGTTTGCCAACAGGGAGATCTCTAAAGTAACAAATTCTGTAATATTTTCAAAGCTTATGTTTACAAAGCAATTTACTACCCTTTTTTCGCGCCTTTCACAGTTCATCTGAGATTTAATATAACTTCATTAGGTAAACACCAGTTGAGCGTAAATTTTCGTCTCTTTTTTTTGAAACCGTGTTATAAGGCTCCATTTACAAAACTTGTTTATTTAAGACAAACATTTTGATCAAGTGCGAATATCAAATTCGCATTTTAAATTTTTCAGTTGTTGATGTGTCATAGACTAATTGAGTATAGAGTGTAATAATCATAGATCAAGTAGTGTTTATAAAATATTGTAGTAAAAATAATTCGAAAACTGATGTGTGCTGTTAATTCATTTTTCATTCAGTACTTCCAATTTATTAAAGTGTTAAAGTGTTTTTTAAGGATTTTTATAACGTTTCAAATCCTATTTTATACTTAGCAGCTTTTGAAATTTCGATGCTTGGTACCTTTACAAGCACGTGAAAAAGCCGCGGGCGTGTTGGTGTGCATTGTACCGTTAAACTCGTACCGGTAATGCTCATTAATGACACTATTCTGTGAGATTTGTGTCATTATTTCATCCATTACTGCTGGGATATTTGCCATTGTTGCCACGTTTGTTAGGAAGGTTGGCAATCGTAGTTCTTTTTATTGTTGTTTTGATTTGTAATCAGATGCTGCTGCCCATTTGGTTACATTTTTTTTTCTTACGACGCTCTCCTTAATTACCATATCTGTATGTTTTTGCTTGAAGTTACCTTTATACGTGGTAGAGCCATGCTGCAGCTATATTAGTAGTATAGTTGTTGCACGAATGGGTCGGTTCAACCGAGGAAGGACCACGCTCTCATAGAATACCAGCGTAAAATAGCAGCTTAACACTGCTGTGTTTCGTATGGTGAGTGTAGAGAACCGGAGACCGTTTTTACTGGACAAGAGGCATTCCATCTTAATCTTCTTCACGGGTGACAACGCATCTGCATTTTGATTCGTAATCGAAAGTAGATAGGTGACAACAACCACTTACCATCAGGTTGACTGTGTTCTCGTGTTCTGTGTTCACTTATCCTATTAAAAAAACACCCACGGGACAAAATGGGTTAATGGATTGTCTTACGTCGCCACCACACGATAGAAAACTTAATTGTTAACCCATTTTAGATGTTCATCTAATATCATGTAAATGAAATGAATTGAAAGAAATAATGAAACATGTATTGCAAACACACCATACACATGATTAGGTACTTAATTTAGTTGTGTTTTATTTTTTTATTTTAACACAATGCTTAATTAGTTTTTCTGTTACAGGTGTATCCCACAACAGGCAATACGTTTTGTTTCGCCTCGGCCGACGTGTTTCATTGCCAGTTCGACAGTTTGCTGAATCAGGACGCCCAGACAATCTCAGCTCTGGTCCTGGAACTTTTGATGTATTTGGTGCAGCGGCTATATCTCAGGGATCAGGCCGAACGGAAGCAGAGTTCTTTGTTGATGGAAATCACTCAAGAGTGAGTTGTTAAAAAGTAAAAGTAAAGTTACAACCTGTATACGTCCCACTACTGGGCACAGGCCTCCCCTCATTTCTGAGAGGGTTTTTAGGGCAGGGAAGTGTCCGCCGCGCTGCCCCAATGCGTGTTGGTGATCTTTACATGTCTTAGAATTTTTTTCTTAATTATGAATTTACGATTGAGACATGCAGGTTTCCTCACGATGTTTTCCTTCACCGCCGAGCACGTGATATTAAGTACTTAAAATTGCAATTAACAATTTTATTGGTGCCGGTGGGGATTGAACCCTGTTTGCTCGCGTACAGTGAAATTTACAGCGAGCAATAACTATTTGAGCTACCACGGCTAGTTATTAAATTGATAATAAATAACTTACTATTATGTATGTGATAATTCACTATCATGGGTTGCTTTTACACGTTTACAAAGTTAAAAAAAAAAACGGAAGAAAATTAATTCACTTAAAAATAAACTTTCTTTCTGTTTTATTTTACGATAGATTTTCAAAATTTATATTTGTTTCCAAATATTTATGGTAAATAATTAACATAGCTATTAACATAACTTTTATACAAGCAATGAGATTTTTATTGAAAAATAATAGCATCAATATTTTAGTTTATATGGAAACGAATTAATAAGAATAGTAATACGTATAAGCAACACGCTCACTGTTTGATAACAACATTCCATGAATTCGATTGCAATGTACAGACTTAATAATGACAAAGCCTCGATAATTTTACAATTTAATTGCGTAGCTGTAATAAAACTAGTATTACGCGACCCTCGTCGAAAATATCAGTATTTTGACACAAATGAATGCCCCAGAGAGCAAACAACAATTACGGTCCGTCAAGCTATTGGACGGATAAAAAGCATCGAAGTCGTTACAAATTGAGTTGTAATAAAAGAGGAAATTTATCGTGCCTACTATCGTCGTTGTTTTATGGCCAGTTAGAATTAATTAATTTCGATTATTTGTTGATTACTGCCATATATATTATGGAAATGCTTTTTTTGTTGTTCAAAATAGTAAATTTATATTTATATCATTTTTTCGCATTAGCATCAATTCCTTTATTTTGTCTTAGTTTTAATAGGCCAATATTGATTACGTTATAACACGTAACCTAAAAAAATGTTTATAATTTTGGCTTGAATAGTTCCAAATTGTATCGGAAAGGATAGGCTTAGTTTAAAGAAGTCAGATCTGTCACTTTGCGCATCAAAACATTGGAAATAAAGCCTTCTACACGTTCGAGGTACAATACAACACAAGTATTAAATCCAACTGAACATCATTGCTAGTGAAATAATAATAATCAAGGATATTTTGGTCGATATTACCATTCCATATGACGATAACCTCGTGAAAGCCGAAACAGATAAGCTGACAAAATATCTGGACCTGGCTCACAAGGTGACCGATATGTGGGGTGGACTGCCGACCGAAATTATACCTGTAGTCGTTTCTGCGAACGGTTTAATCCCATTCAGCCTCTCAGGTTATCTGATTCGACTAGAACTCCGTGACGGAACGCTTTAAGTTTAAATGCAGAAGGTGGGGCTCCTCGATAGCGCACGCATCGTCCGCTGGTTTCTTTCCCTTTCCCCTACCTTTCCTTTACCCTCGGCTGTTTGGTCTCCCCTGCAGAGGGCTTCCATCTGGTTGGGTTTTTATATATTTATGTATTTTTCATGTTTTTATTTTATTGATATTTATGTATGTTTACCATTTTCATTTACAATTATATATTTATATGGCCCAACCAGATGAGAAAACTTTGTAGATACCCCAAAATAATAATAAAGTAAATGTTATTATTATTAAACTAGCGAAATACAGCAGACGTTATCCTACATGTGTATACCAATTTTCATAGCAATTAGTTGATCGCCATAGAAGATTATGTGCTGCAGCGCCATCTAGTTATGAGATAAAACTAAATGGATTGCATAAAAATGTTATCCATAAATGTATGTACCAATTTTTATGATGATCAGTTAAATGGTACTGAAGCTTATAAATCTCAAAGAAATATACCAATTTGCTTTTGTATATGCTGTATAGAGGGTGGAATATAAATTTAGTTATTCTGCGCAGTTGAGTTTAAAAACTAAAATTTGTTTGAGTTTATTCTATAACCAATGTAAAGTGTACATAATTTGCTTTGTGAATATGTAATTTCCATATCATTTCGAGGGAAATATTGTTTTATCACACATGGGGATAGTAAAAATAAATAATTTTAAAATACCAATCGGTTACTAATGGTGATAAGCTTTTAGATAAATGAGTTATTCAGACGAACGACGTTAAAAGATACTGAATTACAAAATAAAGCACACCCTACAAAGCTTTTGTTTTGAGGCAAAGTTGTCTTAAGCGAGAGAGCTATAACTGCAAACGGAGATAAGCCTGGCACTTTCAGTTCTTGTCGGATATAACAATGTGTTTAAATCACAAAGGAAGTTTATATAAACGAAATATTTCTCAACTGCTCTGTATTAAGTCTGTATAAATATTTAAGTTGAAAAATACATATTTTGGATATGTCTTTCACCCCTATAGGAAAAGGCTACGAACTTTCATCTAAAACAATCCTGACATACTCTCTCAACTCTTTTACATCTACTCATATATACTCGTACTACGCTATATACATATATGCTTGTCGATATTGGGTGCTTTTAATTCGGCCCATCTGCAATATCTTATCAATTTGGTTGATAAACTTGCTTCTAGGGCCTCTCTTGCTAACTGCCACTCACTGTTGCAGCATAAATTTGCTTTCTCACTATTTTCTCAGTAATAAGGCCCCTATGGCAATTAACAATGCTATATTATCATCATCATCATCAATACTGCTCATCGTAGTCCACTGCTGAACTGTGATTTCTAGGCCTCCACTAAGAAATTATACAAATCATGACCCTGAGCCACCTGCATTTATCAACTTCCTGAATCTCTTACCAGTTGTGTTAGTTTGTCCTTACTTTAACGTATGCTATAAAATGCAGTCATCGAGAAGTATGTTAGGTGTGAGTCTGATAAAAGAAAATTATGGTCTGCAAGATTTTCTGACGAGGTAACAAATGCATGCTTCGGGGGTTCAGATAAGTAGAAAATGAACGAGGAAAGACTTGAATAATCTATGTTAAATTTTTTATTAGAGTTTGTCAATCTCTAGTCTAAATATTGTTGTTTTTTACGTATTACAAGCTAGTGCTTGATAAAAACATTCTTTATTTTATATTATCTTCTTCTTATTCATCAGCCGGTAAAAGTCCAAGCTGGATATGAGCTTTTCAAAATATCGGAAATCCTCCCTACAATAAGAAAAGCTCTCTCTTATGTTATAGAGAACAATGAAAAAGAAATGTAAAGATGCGGAGTTGTTTTTATATACTATAATATTTTTTGTTTTGTTACTGCTATTTTAATAAACCTATAATATTATTTTGTTGACTTTATAATTGTTTAACAGGTATCAGTGATGGCAAAAATGGTACCGTCTCCGGATTGGTTTATAGGAGTGGACAGCTTTGATCTATGCGTAGATGGGAACTGGATTGATAGCATCACAATTGAGGTAACAAGTTTGATTTTATTTATAAAGTTGTTAAAATAAGTAGTAACACAAAATTTTATCTACGCGTCAATTTTTTTATTATTGTGTTTAAAACTTTTTTTTTACATTTATTTATTAACAATCTATTTAATAAACCTAAGAAATAAAGTGCGCATTTATTTATGACAATTGTGAGTTTAGCAACAAATTTAAATTATTGATCAAGCAACACAATTCCATAACTCAGGTCGACCCACTAGACGCGGGGACGGACAATGGCTTCACATTCACAGCGCCGAACTGGCCGACCGCACCCCAAGGAGTTACGTACCGTATAACATCAAAGTACCCCTCCCACCCCGCCGGGTCGTTCTTTTATCCCCATTTGAGGAGACTGCCGCCTATAGCCACGTTTCAATTTATTAAGGTAAGTAAATATAGTTGTATATATGTATGTATATTATGGATGTTTATTTTCCTTGATTCTTAATATTGTTATTGGCAACTGTAGTTTACGTCAATATTAGGAAAGCTTGTTTTAAAGATACTCAAAATGAGTTGAAAATAATTTTGCGCCATTTAATGTTTTCATTTTTGATAGTCTATTTAATTTATAGATCAACTTTGTAATTGTATGTATTTACATTATTGTTGTTTACTATCCATGATTCTTCATATTACTTGATAACTGTAGTTTACACAATTTTTTTCGGCTACAAGGCATGTGCGACTGAGAGTTTATATATTAACTGATAAGTGATACCTGACTGATAACTGATAATTTAAACAGTTCAATTCGATGTAATTTAATAACGATCAAGACAAGATGATTTTTAAGTGACCGTAATAATATATGGGAAAGATATGTCTTTCCTAAAATATAAAAAAATAAAAACGATGTTACTATGAGAGAAAAATCACTGAATCTTTCTGTAAAATAACCGAGTAAAATTATCATTTATCACTAAGCATTATATGGTACACGAATACAGAACTATTGCATAAAAAACAGTTAACAAACATCATTGTTGAGTATCTTTAAGTATATTAACGACTCAAGCAATATTTAAATGAATTATTCAACAGCTCCGAGAATACGAACTCTCAGAAGTGTTCCACCGAGAGAATGACGACCGAAAATACGATGTTCTACAATTAGACAAGCTCAGCCATAATAACATCGATGTGTTGGATGGAAACAGGGCACTTTCTATAGCTGAGGAAGTTGAGAGAGAAGAACAGGCGCCGAGAATTTACTCAGAAGGCTCAATGACTACATCCGATGGGGCTTACTCATTTTATTCTTTGTAAGTACCTTTGAATCTCAACAAAATTAAATTTGTATGAATGTCATGAAGTTTACAACTAAAAAACATTACTTTAATATCTTAGGTAGATTACCACATACTGATTTTTGACATCGCACTGCTACTAATTTTTATGCTTTCTTAATGTTGTGTATATGTCTATTGTTATTTATGTTTCTTTCTTTCCTTCTTGTATATAATATGAAATTTACTTAATTATTTTAAATATAGTCTTTCCCGTAAAAAATATGTAAATCATCAGACGTTTTTATATAATAAGACTGATAGCAGGAATGTTATATTTTAACATGGATTTACACTAATTGTTGTTGCAAGACTGTTCACTTAGTTGAGGAATTTTCGTTTACTTATTCATAAGATCTATTCTAATATGAGTAATTATATTATTACATTTGTAATTTTGTGCAATTTAATGTTTATATATTCCGTGTGACACGACGACAAATAGAGCCCGTTCGTAGGTGTCACAAGAGGCTATAGGAAATTTCTTTTAAACAAAATATCTCATCAAATAATCTTTTAATCAAAATATCACAAAAAAGAGGGTTATTGTAATATCAAGGAATACATGAATGAAAATAACCCCTGGGAATAAGGTGATCGCCACCATGCTGGTTCTATGAAAATTCATTTAAAAATTGTATAAATAAATACTGTTAAGTGTAAGTGTGTTTGAAAATAAAAAAGTCCCGCTGGGTTTCTTGCTGGTTCTTCCCAGGACAGAGGTATTTTCCGAACCAGTGGTAAATAAAAAAATACTTTCAATAAGTATTATGTAAGAATAAATATTTAATAAAAATCATTCTATTCTATTCTATTCTATTCTGTTCTGTTCTTTTCTGTTCTATTCTATTCTATTCTATTCTATTCTATTCTATTCTATTCTATACTATTCTATTGTATTGTATTCTATTCTATTCTATTCTATTCTATTCTATTCTATTCTATTCTATTCTATTCTATACTATTCTATTGTATTCTATTCTATTCTATTCTATTCTATTGTATTCTATTCTATTCTATTCTATTCTATTCATTGCTTTCAAAAGATGCTTTATGACCAATTTGCTTACGCCAGATGCGAAATACCCAGACTAGCGACGGCGAACAGCGTCGAAAGAGCGAGATGTCTGGTGCTGCAATCTCTAATCCCGCAACCAAGCACTGCGGTTAAGACGAATGCTAGAAAAATACCTTATTCTAGTACCTTAAAAATTTATGCCATCCTATCCGTTTACAATACAATTGACAATTACGTTGATGATATAAACGCATGGTAAAAACTCTACAATTTCCACACAGAATACTTTAAGCAAATGTTGTTTTAGTATTTAACTGTAGCAGCCAACTAGCTTAATTAACCTTTCACAACAGTCTAGACAATACATGGTATGGCCACCCTATTAATTTCATTCAACGAGACGGTCGCCGGTCTGTGCCTAATTAGCGCTATGTGCTATATTATATAAACGTCCGCGGTTTTAGGGTGGCTCAAGGGACATACCAGCCGCTTCCTAACTTACTGTCGCTGATAATACAAGATATGTGCAATGTTATTTTAAACGCATCGTCTGAATATCATTCAGACCGCTAGTTGAATAGCGCCGTTTAGTAACAATGTTAGGCCGTTAACTGAAAGGCTAATTAAGCTAGCGGGCTACGACATATTTGTGATTATTAGTAATATTTATTTTATTTGATCTTATTTTATTTTATTTTATTTATGTTACATTTATTTTATTTACTTTATCCTAATAAGTAACTTAAGTAACATTATAAAATACAGGTAACTTCGGGTCCAAACCTAAGCGCAGCTTGTATCTCAGGACCCTGGCATGTTACAATATGGTTTGCCACAGGACATAAGTGTGTGTACATATGTGTGCACGCGCGCATTTGTGTGTGTGTGTGTGTGTGTGTGTGTGTGTGTGTGTGTGTGTGTGTGTGTGTGTGTGTGTGTGTGTGTGTGTTCTCATATGTGCTATTTCATTAGCTCTTCAATGTCAATATAAGTTAGAGTATAAAGCATGTTCTTTAGTAGGGTTTTACATGAGGAAAGTGAGCGGTCTCTAAGGTCAATTATTTTTGATATTCTGTTGTAAATGAAGGGATGAGTGAATGTGTGGGTGGGAAAATGTTTTGCTAGGTCTGATTTTACGATTAGAACGGGAATTCTTAAAGTTCGTTTGCTTCTTAAATCATTGTAATCCGGGCGAGATCTTACAGTTTAGTGCATTTTGAGTGTGGCATTGAATATAAACAGGTGCCGCACCCGTAATACTTAAAATTCTTCATATAGAAAGTCGGTGGGGTATGTGAATAGCTTGTTCAATATTACCTTAATTAGTGCATGTTGAGGTCTTTTCAATGTCATAAGCGCATTCCTCCTAGCGCGGCCCCAAACACAAATGCAATACTGCAATATAGATTGGCGTAGTGCAAAGTATACCTGAGGTATTATATCCACAGAAGTACAAACTCGCAGTTTTTTTCATAATGTAAATGAACTTTCGCACACAGGAAGATAGATTAGAAATATGGACTTCAAATATTAGGTTATTATCTATGATAACTCCAAGATATGTGATCATTTTAGAGCGCGCAATCACATCACAGCGCAGTCATGCATATAGGTATAATAATTTCCGCAGTAATGAATTGTTAAGGGAAAAGTAATCGGAAGACTTGTTCGTCTAGATTTAGAAAAGCAAATGTATGTAGTCTTTTTCTAATTTAGTGTAAGGAGATTTACATTTAAGAACACGGCCATCCGAGATAGGCCTGTTTCCGCGGTACTGTATACTCGACTCCATGTCGTTTCGTGAAAAAATATGGTTGTATCATCTGCGTAAGCAATTACATTTGAATTAGGCAATTTTCTTCGAGGATATCATTCAAGTACAGAGTGATCATTCAAGTACAGAGTGAAGAGAGTAGGTCCAAGGGCACTGCCCTACGGAACGCCAAAATTAACATGCAGTTGCCCACTAGTGTGTTTTCCTAATTTTACGCACTGTTTTCGCATTTTAAGGTAAGTTTCAAACAATTGAAGTGTATTTCCCTTTACTCCAGCGGCTTCGAGAGGTGGCCAATAGAGACAGTATCAAAGGCTCGCGAGGTCGACAAAAATACCTATACAACATTTCCCACTCTAAGTGTTGTGATATTTGATCAGCTAGTGCTGCTATAGCGTCCCCGGTCGATTTTCCCTGTCGTAAACTATATTGCTTATCCGAGATAATCCGATTTTTATGTAGAAAAAGGACAAGTTTCCTGTTCACTATTTTATCTAGAATTTTTGATATGATGCTAAGTAAAGAGATTGGTCTGTAGATTTCCGACAAGGTTGGAGAACCATTTTTGAAAATAGGTGACACTGCTGCAGGTTGTCAGAATTCTGGAAAAACTCCCTTTTCTAGGCTTAAATTAAATATGTGAAAGAAAGACATTATAATATTACTGCAGGTATTTTCAACCAGTGTAATATTGACATGGTCTAATCCTGGAGAACTGCTCGTTTTTAGGTTGTGACTGATAGCAATGAATGTTACCAGTTAGCAGTTAGTAGACCAGAAGATCACCAGCTGATCGACCCCGACGAAGACCGTATTGGCAGTCACTAATCAGCTAATCAGCTGGTGATCCTCAAGGTACCGCATGAGCTGGCAATAAATAATGGATTCCATTATTTTGGAGAACAAGGAGGTGATCGCGATAGGCCTATAGTTGGATGGGTCTGAGAGGTCGCCTTTTTTAGGGATCGAGTAGACAAAAGCAGTCTTCCATGAATTCGGGACTACGCCTTGGGAGTAGGGGAAAAGACGCAACTCCGAAGTATACGTCCTCAGCACAATTGGGGGGATTCCGTCGACTCACTCGACTTTGAATGTCCAGGAAGAGGAGTGCTTTGCGAACCGATCGCTGTGAAAAGCGCACATCTGGCATGGAGCATTTACACCGCGGGATGGTCGGTGGTGTGTTCCCCCTGCCATCAAAAAGGGAGCCTAAAAGGTAGGTTTTCTCTTTTGTGGCGTGGGCCAGTGAGTCGTCGTCCCTGTGCAGAGATGGTAGTGATGGCTTACAGAAATTCCCTTGGACAGCCTTGAACTTGGACAGCCTTGAACCAGAATGCACGGGTTCTCGAAGGAAGGCGAACTAGTTTCTCGCCATTTCTGCCTATGTGCTCAGACTTTGTCTTGGCAATAACTCTTTTGAAGGGCCTGGAAGCGAAGTTATACTTCTTTTTAAGTATGCTGGTGTTTACATCCCGAGTCGTTGAAGCCGCAGCCCAGGCTTGATAACACTCCTGCTTACTGCGTAATGCAGTCTTACAGGAGCGACCAAACCAAGGCTGAGATCTGCCTCCGAAGGGTACCACAGATGATGGGATAAATAGTTCCATTCCATGTAGCATCACATCAGTGACAGAGTCAACAACAGCGCTGGACTCATCCGGCAAGAAGCAAACCCGCCCCCATGGGTAAGAATGCAAAGAAAGTCCGCATTCCATCCCAATCCGCCGACCTGTAATGCCAAACACGGTGGCAACCTGCAAAACGCAACCGCGATGGGAGCGTGAGTGGCACCACACTCCGGATCAGACAATGGTCTAAAGAGCCGAGCCCCTCTCGGCTCTTTAGACCGAAGAGGGCATCGACAGAAACCTGATATCCGTCCGGATGTGACGTCAGCAGAAGGTCCAACAGGGAAGGTGTATGATCCTCCACATCTGGAATCCACGTAGGCGAAGTAACCAGTTGTGTCAGACCATTTGCCAAGGCAAAGTCATATACAGATCTCCCCGCATGATTGGTTAAACGTGAACCGAGCCATTCGGCGTGGTGGGCGTTAAAATCGCCAAGGATCACGATCTCTGCGGATGGGACCTGTTGTAGCAAGGAATCTGTAGCCATTTGGATGTGGTCGATCTGTAATAGATGATTTGTAGAGGAGGCCTAAGGATATTGTCTCAGATTTTATGAAAATATGGTCAAGGCTCTTCTAGTTGACTTTGATATCGCTGGATATAGACCATAAAATGCCATCAAGCATAAACAGTTGACTGCTTGTGCAATCATTAGATCGTTAATGTTAATATTAATGTCACCTGCAATAACTAGGGTTCGTTTGTGTTGTATGTTAGAGAGTACAGTGTCTGAAGAGGAAATAAATCGATCGGTATTTTAAAAGGAAGGAAATCGACAAATTCCTAGGACTGTAAGGTCTTTATTTATATGTATGAGGAGACTATCAGCCTCACCCAATTTATGTATCTGAGGTGAAATTTCACTATTCCATGAGCTTTAATGTAAGCGACGATCCCACCGCTTATGTTTACTTGTGATAAGAATAGATAGATTTTGTAACCCTGCAATGATTCAATGACAATACCATCAAACAGCCAACATTCAGTCAATATAATAATATCAATATCCATGCCCAAGCGTTTGAGAGCTAGTTCAAAATCGTTAAAATTGTGTTTATAACTTTGTATATTGAATGTCAAAATATTTAGACTATACTTATCATTTGTAAGAACACTTTTGTAGTTTTCCATAGTCTATACTACGACAGTCTATGGCCAGTGATTCGCCTATATCTTTAGCAATGCTAAGTAATCCATATTTATTTAATATAAATATTAAGATAAAAGATAATATTGTTCAATTACTGAAGTTTCTTACAGCTGCAAGAGTGGAAATGTTGTTATTAATTCGTGAAAATAACTTTTAATCTTTGTTGGTGTGTATTTCTGTGCGAGTGTTTGTGAATAGTTTAGTGAGTTGTATGTTAAGTTTGTGTGTATAGAAAATTGACCTAGAACTATCTTTGCGTAAATAAATTGACAAAAATTGTTAGAATGTAAGAATGAATTGGTAACTTAAAACTAAATTTATTATAAAATATAATAGTCGGTGTAGTGATAGTAAAGTAAACAACGTTTTGTGAATTGTTAGACGTCTGCTTATGGTTGTGCAACAAGCGGGCAGTGACGTAATAAGTCAGAGGAGTTCCGGATCGTAATTGGAGGGCTTCCCTCCTGTTCACAAATATTGATAGCGCCATTATTGATCCAGCAAAATCTGAAGCCACATTCTTTGGCTCTCTGTCTTAAAATGCGAAATAAATGTCGATTTTCTTTAGTCAGCCGCTCTTTTAAGTAAATGTTCCTTGCAATACTAGGTAAGTCTAGATCCCAACTATTTTGATTGCGTCTAGATTTTCCAGCGAGTAGGAACTCATCGCACTTATTTCGTCGTAGAAATCTCGCGACTAGTGGACGAGGTTGCCAGTCCGCCGGTGACTAACTGTCATTGTTTGTTGTATCGCTGACTTTTTTTGGGAGCCCACTCGTGTTGTGTAGTCTAAGTCGTTGGCGTCGAGGTTTATTCCAATTTTTGCGGCTGTTGTTAAAATAATGTGCACCGGATTTTCGTTGGAGGTTTCTGTTATGCCCATGATTTCAACTTCGTTTTTTAGGTGAATTTGTGCTTGAGTATAATTTCCTGGTCAAGCTGAGCAATAGTAATATTCAACCTGAAGACCTCCGATTCACTTTTTTCAAGCGCGCGGATTTTATCCTCTGTTCGCGATAACTTGATTTCACAGTCATCTAGTCGTATATTGCACTGCATCAAGTGATCAGTCAGTGACTTGAGGTGGGTTTTTAATTCTCCTACATCTTCGCGAAGTAATTTTATTTCTGAATCCAGCAGAGATAAATGACATGAGTTTGCTGCCAAAGAGGGTAATTCAACCACAACTGGACTACATCTGTCGATATTTTTGTTACAGACGGATGAGCGTATGGGTTTGTTTATGTTATCGGTTTTAGGCTTCGTACAGCGGCACTGTAGGCATATCGGTGTTGATCTTGTTATCTCTGTAATCTTACGATTCTCGGATATGTTAACTCACAAGGGGTAGTATTTGTAATCGCACTTCGTACATATCATTAGTTGGTTTCCCCATAAGTTTTGTTACAAGTCGCGCAGTATATATACGTGGTAGAGCCATGCTGCAGCTATATTTCTGGTATAGTTGTCGACCTCGACCGGGGAAGGACTACGCTCTCACAGAATACCAGTGTAAAATAGCAGCTTAATGCTGGTGTGTTTTTTGAAACGAGGCATTCCATCTTAGTCCTCACGGGTGACAACGCATCTGCATTTTATTTTATTTTATTTATTTTTATTTTTAGTAAATCGTAATCGAAGTTAAATGTAGATGTCTATGGGCCACAGCAACCACTTACCATCAGGTGGACTGTGTGCACGTTTGTCACCCATATACTATAAAAAAAGTTTACCATATTGACAAAGATTGTGATATTCTACTTTGTGGGTCAGTTGAAAAAATATAAAAAAAAACTATTGGCAAAGGTATAATAATTACTCACGGGTATATTCTGGACTCACCTGCCGTCACGCTAAATCGAATTGTCGAAAAAGGATGAAATATTTTATGTGCGTAGCCCGTCTCTTTTATCCGAGGTGAAGTGGGTGTTTCTCAGCTAACGTAGACTTTGAAATTGCACTTTTAGGTTAAATAGATATTTATCACGCTACACACAAAACTAGCAGTAGTAACTGTTTATTTATGGATTATTTTGTTATGCAAAAACCTACATTTCAAAACGCACAGCGACACGTTCGCACTGTTGACTGCATGGATTCGCACAGCAATATAATATATTTAAATGTTGACATTAATTAAAATTAAAATGTATTTTTTTCTTGTAATTGATTATTCGTGAGAGCTTGTAACTGAGCCTATGTAAATAAAAAATAAATAAAATAAAAAATATAAATATTAGCTGTGCTGACATTTGGGAAAAATCCCTTATCGGAGTACCTTTACAAAAGTAATATAATTGTTGTTTTAGATATGCTTAATTTACTTTACGATTTATTGTAATAATATTTTTATACAGAAGCAATACAACAGTAATCACAACAGAAGAACCTCGATCAGCTAATGAACTACCCACATCTGGTCCAACTGCAAGCGAGCGATCTGCGCTGAGGAGTCTTGCGCGCCGCTACCGAGCCCGGCGACGACGTAAATTGCGCGCGGACAGCACTGATCCAGCCGAGAGGAGAAAACGGAAAAGAGCTAGTGAGTACTCTATATATTTCCCATCCAGTATATTTCTCTACACTAAGGCAAACTTACATGCTAATACATGGTGTAGTTATGTACGTTTAGTCAGTCTAATTATAGTGGACTACTGTTATCATGTGTACATATGGACACAAAAAATGAAGTTAAATAACAACTTATATTTGTCCCACTAGACACAGAACTCTCATAACTGTGCTGCCCTAATGGATGTCGAATTCACATGTACTTGAAATATTATTTTCTTAATATCTGTGATTAGTACTTAAAAATTTATTGATGTCGGCGGGGACGATCTTGTATGACCGCTTACTAATTGTATGAAATTTAAAAGAGTGTGGTTTGGTTTTCCAGAGTAACCACGTGTATTTTAGACCTCATTTTAAAGCTATGTCAGTATCAATTTTCCATACTATTATTTATTTTGGTAAAACATAAAATAAAAACAAATCATAGTAAAGAAATATTCTTTCAGGGCTTTTAGACTGCCGCGTATCAGACTGGGGCGAATGGAGTCCGTGTCGCAGTGATGGCGGTTGTGTAGGGTCGGCATTACGAACTCGACGCATCATACGCAGGCAGCGACCCGGTGGCTCGCCTTGCCCTCCTACAGCGCAGTCACGGTGGTGTGCTACTAACTGTACTACAACACTGCAGGAAGATTGGCACAACAACCTAACGTAATTGAACATGACTTAGAGGATTTTGTCATATTATTTACTTTATTCTTATCTTCGCCGTTTCGGTAGTGCTGTTTCAGAAAACAATATTTCGGAAATTTTACTAATATAATTTCTATTGATTAGACTGAAAAAAATGAAAAGGAAAGAATGGATTTTAGAGTGTTGAATTGAAATAATTTTAGTAAAATTTTTGATAGATCTTGTAAAAGCTCTTTTAAAAACTTTCTTAGCGTCTGTCTGTCCATCCAAATTATTTTCATTTTATTCTCTTTTGTTTATTTATTCAACTGACTTTGAATCTAAAATGACATGTAAAAAAATTAATAAAATTTCTGTGTAAAAATAATTTTGTAAGAGATGACTGTTGATGTCCCGTAAAACAATTATAGAGTAGATTTGATTACTTGCAGCTGTACCTATTAGAGCTTCTTTCGATTTTGTGTCAATAATCGATAGAAGGTCATTACACATATAACTTCAATGAGGCATATTTAATTTCCTTAGTGATGTGTTACCTATAACATCTCTATGATATCGGATTTTATAACCACCTAATTTAAAGAAAATATTAGGTTAATTATAGATTAGTTGCCTAAGATAGCTAGCAGCCATACTAAAAGTTATTTTTCCAAAGCTAGATGTTTCATCATCATCATTACAGCCCTTCACAAGTCCACTGCTGAACATAGGCCTCCCCCAAAGAATGCCACAAAGCACGGTCCTGAGCCACCTGCATCCATCGACTTCCTGCATGTCTTACCAGGTCGTCACTCCATCTCGTGGGGGGACGCCCTACACTTCGCCTACCGGTACGAGGCTGCCACTCGAGAACCTTTCTTCCCCATCGGTTGTCGGTTCTTCGAGCTATATGGCCGGCCCACTGCCACTTCAGCTTACTAATCCGTTGGGCTATGTCGGTCACTCTAGTTCTACTGCGGATATCCTCATTCCTAAGTTTATCACGCAGAGAAACTCCGAGCATAGCCCTCTCCATAGCTCGCTGAGTGACCTTGAGCTTAGATGTAGATTAACCTAGATGTTTATTTACACATATTTCTGCTCTAGTACAAAAAATATCGTGTCTTATGCCATAAAGTTAATAATCGATTTATTTGACGAATAATTTTTTAAAATTTTCACTTCGGTATCAGAATGATTATTATGCGGAGGTGTTAAGGCTAGCAAAGGGTTTTTGAATGCTAACCACGCGTGGTTTCGACATATTACAAATGGAAAACTTTTTTGTATGATTAACATGAGTTAATTAGAAGAAGATACATTTTTTTTAAAATAGATTATCCGCGTGTGGTTGGTCAATTATTAGTGTATTATCTCAAAATAGTAACATACATATCGCTTACTTAAGTCTTAAACATTGTGACAGTAACTCAATAATATAGTAGTGTTGGTTTAGAAAACGTTACGTGAATCCAAAGATGCAGCTTTTATTTTTAATACAGTTAAGTGTAAAAATAGTTTAAATAAGTTCTAATAAATTAATATTAGATATTTAACTTAATTAAATCCTTCGAAAAGTGCTTTTATGTAAATGAACATCCATAGTTGGTTTAAGTACTATGTTCATGACGATGTCGATGTGGACAACTTCAAGAATATATAGGCTCTTCTAACGGTAAGATAGCGCGATTTACCATCTAGGGCTTTATCACCACTTACCAGTAGGTAAGATTGTGGCCAAGTCGATATATATATTTCAGTTAGTAATATCTAAAGAGATAATAAATCAGAAATGTAAAAAAGTCTACAAAAACTTATTGCTAATATCACTTTACTGACAAAATCATTCGTAATGTCTTTTTTATTTACTAATTGCAAATTTCTTATTTGAATATATATTAACTTCGCCACAGCTCATTGCATGATTTGTGCAAAACCAAAATTCAGAAATGTTATAACTATTGCCTTTTCGTAGAAAATAAATTAAATACGTTAAGAGTGCATGTTTAACTTAATAAGAATAAAAACTAATGATTACAACTTGTGTCACAATAATATATCGTAGGCTGGTTTTAAGTGAAAAACAATTTAATTCCAAAAAAAAAAAGCCAAAAATGTTAAATTTAGTACGATATTGAGTATGTGTATTTTTTACAATGTATAATATTTTGATTTAAATAATAAAATGCTATATATGCTGACCGTGCTCTGTGGCATTCTTTGGGGGAGGCCTATGTTCAGCAGTGGACTTGTGAAGGGCTGTAATGATTATGATGATGAATAAAATGCTGGAAACACACGCTGCTTTAATTTTAATTATATCATTATTACACGTCACACGGTTGTGTCATGAATGTCTGACACATTCATAACACAACTGTTAGACCTGTATACCAGCAGCTTAATGCTACTGTGTTTTGTAAGGTGAGTGTAGAGAACCGACGACCCTTATTACTGGAAAAGAGGCATTCTATCTTAGTCCTCAGGGGTAACAACGAATCTGCATTTTGATTATTAATCGAGGATTATAGCTATCTATGGGCCACCGTATCACCGGTCATCAGGTGGACTGTGTGTTCATTTCTTACCCTATTCTGTGTAAAAAAAATCACGAAAAATTTGACAATTGTACAAGATGTTTAAAATGTTTTAACTAATTTAAAGTGGAAATAAGCTAGTAAACATGTAAGTGTTGACAAAGCTTATACATTTTTTATAGATTGATGGTGACAAACTGGTTTGACTGACTGACCTGTCAGTCAGGCGACTTACCATCAAGGTGACAAACACAGTCCACATGATGGTAAGTTGGTACGACAAGGGAAGTGGAGGAAAAGACCATTTCCCTAATTGAGCCTTAAAGGAATTTCTTTAGCCCAAATCAAGCCTTCCAACATCGTCTATTTTCCTTAAGCTACGTCATTAAATGCTTCCTTTTTTTCTGATTCATTAACACAAGCTCGTATTAATCTATAATATTTTACGGTAAAATTTTAGACCAACAAAGAAGGAAAGACTGAGCGCTGCATTTATTTCTAGTGACGCAAAAATCAATCCAAAATCATTTGTAACAAACAACATGCTTTAAGAGCATGATATATATGTGTCTCACAATTAACATAATAACGCCCATAAAGGGCTGATAAAGAAAGAAAGAACGATGTGTGTATGAGTCCATGTCAATAAGTTGATCATGGTTTCGGCATCACTTGAAATGACAATCAATAATGAGTAACAAAACTTAAAAGTTTGTAATGAACTCTTATTCTAGATTAGAATAGTACAATCTAAAATAGTACATGATTTAACTAATGTGAAAACTTTAAAAGGCACGGAACAAACTGAACACGAAGCAGCAAAACATATAAAGCAAGATATAATCGAAGACTCGTCAGTTTCTGTTATTTCAGCTTCTTGTCGATTTTTTCATTATGAATAAAGGAATTTTAAAGAATAAGAAATGAAAAAAGGCTTTTAAAGCTGACAATTGAAGTGTTATAGCAAATGTAGCATTCGGATTCCGGCAGCTGCGACCCGCGAACCGCGACCAGGTGGTGATCGCACCTCTCTAAAGGATAGGGATTTTGTATGGAGAAGTGTCTGACTTAAAAAAAATCACAATGTCATCGTTTTGTGATCAAGATGTCAAATATTTAATAAATTTATATCATTACAGTTTCTGGATAACAAAATACCTAAACACACGACATGTTATTAACAGTGACTTACGCGGGTCTGCTACAATCCGAATGTTTATTGTCACGCGTCAGGGTAGCGGTTAAGGATGGTAGTAATCGGTCGTGGTTGCCGGGTTGTGGCTGCCGGAATTCGAATGCAAACTTAACTGAAAAGTTTAAGGAAAGTTTTTGGAAGGCTTTTGTTGTGTTCCAAGGCACTATAACTACAATGAGTATCCTTTTGAGGAAGATAAAACAACATGGTTATTAAAATGAATTTATTATTTAAAACATGAGTAACAGGGCAAAATCTTGATCGAAATGATTTCAGCGAACGTCAGTTACTCGTACATAAGTATGATGACCCTTAGATTCAATTTTTTTTAAATAGAATAAGGGTAAGAAACGGGTATACAGCCCACTTGTTGGTAACTGGTTGCTGTGGCCCATAGACATCTACATCTATCCTCGTCTGTGAATCAAAATGCAGATGCGTTGTCAGCCATGAGGACTAAGATGGAATGCCTCTTTCCCAGTCAAAAGGGTCTCCGGTTCTCTACACTCAGCATACGAAACATAGCAACATTAAGCTGTTATTTTACGTTGATATTCTGTGAGAGCGTGATTCTTCCTCTTTCAAGCCGATCCATTCTTGCACTACAACTATACTATTAATATAGCTGTAGCATGGCTCTACCACGTATATTGTAAAAATCAATGCAGCAATGCTCTGTCACGTATAAAAATCAATGCCCGGCTCATAACTTTTCCTTGTCTGTATAAAATATGAAACATCTAACTCCCTGATGAAAATTGAAATAGAGGAGAGGGGTAGCAGGGAAAATGAAGACATATTCATCTTACTTTAGTCTAATACAATATACAGTCGTGCCGTTTACGTTAGACGTAATTACTCAGTCTAGTTAAGAGAGCGTGCGATACCTCTCTAGGTCTACATAATGATTTCTTAAATTTACGGAACACTACACATTTAAATAAAACTAATTTAACGGATTTTATCGCGTATATTAACTGTTACTTGATTACTTTTCTTTTATAGGATAAGGTGACAAACGAGCACATAGTCCACCTGATGGTAAGTGGTTACTATGTCTCATAGACATCTACATTTATCCTCGTTTGCGAATTAAAATATAGATGCGTTGTCACCCGTGATGACTAAGATAGAATGCCTCTTTTCCAGTAAAAAGGGTTTCCGGTTATCTACACACACCATACGAAACACAGCAGCATGAAGCTGGTATTTGACGCTGGTATTCTGTGAGAGCGTGGTCCTTCCCTGGTCGAGCCGACCCGTTCGTGCTACAACTATACTACTAATATAGCTGCAGCATGGCTCTACCAC